GATGTTCTATGTTCTTTGTTCTAAGGTCCCTTCCTGTTCTGATCTTCTATGTTCTAAGGACTCCACAGATCTGATGTTCTATGTTCTATGTTCTAAGGCCCTTCTCAACTCTGATGTTCTATGTTCTTTGCTCTAAGGTCCCTTCCTGTTCTGATCTTCTATGTTCTAAGGACTCCACAGATCTGGTGTTCTATGTTCTAAAGCCCTTCCCAAATCTGACATTCTATGTTCTTTGTTTTAAGGTACCTTCCTGTTCTGATCTTCGGTGTTCTAAGGACTCCTCAGTTCTGGCATTCTATAGTCCATGTTCTAAGGTGTCATCTAGCTCTGGTGCTCTATGTTCTAAGGTCCTTCCCAGCTCTGATGGTCTATGTTCTAAGAACCCTGCAGCTGTGGTGTTCTATATTCTAAAGTTCCTTCCAGCTCTGACGTTCCATACTGTGAGGCCCCTCCAATCCTGATGGCCTACGTTCTAAACCCCTTTCCAGCTGAGGCATCCAATGGTTCTACAGTTTCACCCTTACCCTTGGATCGTTAGATGTGAAAAAATGCTTTAGACTTAGTATTTGCTTTCTCTCCTCTCTCCTTGTTAATGTCCTCACATCCGCGTCTGCTCCACTCATGTGGATGAGGCACTGGTTATGGCATGGGGCTAACAACAAAACTAACAACCCCATGAAGACCATCGTGAGAGACATTTTTCCATCGAGGCCTTCCAACTACTCCATAAGTAGATGCTGCAGGGATCATTATCCTCATTTTACAAATAGGGAAACTGAGGTTCACAGAAGTTAAGGGGTTTGCCCAGCATCACAGAGCTAGTACAGGTCTGAGACAGGGTTTATCTCATTTTCCTGATGCCAGCGCCAACACTCTATCCACTATACCGGGAATCTGCAAACTAGAGCGGATGGCCTGTATAGTCTGCCAGCCTCTGTGCTACACTATCCTAGTAAGATTAACACAATGGGTTCTTCCCCGATGTGGCCCAGTTAGCAGCCAATTGTCCTCCATCTCTGGGATTATGTTGATCCAGAAAGGGGCCATGTGAACGGATGACCTCTCCCCTTTATAGGATAGAGGGAGGCAAAAAGAAATGCCCAATTAATGACATGGGAGGTCAATAGAAACACCTTCCTACCCAAAGGACTGTCTTCTACTTCTCCTGAAGGCCTATATGCAGTCCTGCCCCACTCCAGCCCTCAGAAAGGCCCTTGCTTCAACTCATTTCTAACCCAGTCCAGAAAATGCTTCTCATTACTTCCAAGGTCAGTGGAGAAATAAGAACTCGAGTCCCATTCCACACCCCTTGTCCAATATGACTGTCTCCCATCCTCATTCCCAGAATGCTATGCTACCAAGGGGATAAGAGGAGGCAGGTATCAAGATGCTATATTTAATGACAAAGCTACTGACAATTTAGAATGTTTTTTTTTAAGAATCAAGGATCAGAGGATCATGCAAAGAATGACTGCCTTGTTCTGAAAATAATCCCAGCTGACTCACATTTTTGTTTGAGGGAAACAAATCTCTTGCCTCCAAAACTTTGACAAAAGGCCCTGTCTCACTACACAAATTCACCCGAAAACCAGAGACATCCTCCTTGGCCACAGGGAAAACCCACCCACCGCCAGAAAATGCACCATTCAGTGACACGCCCCTTGGGGACAAGATCCCACCCACCCCCCTCTTCCTTGGTGGCATCGACGAGAACAAAAGCCAACTCCCAGCTGGTTAGAAAGGCACCCCAGACAATGGCGATTTATCCCCAGACCAGAATGACACTTGCATGTTAAAGGTCAGCTTGAAACTAAAACAAAGACTCGTCTTACTGATCATTGTGGTTCCTCCTGCCAGGGAGGCCTTGGTCCCTTGGAAGAAGTCATCGGCAGACGTCATCCCCTGGTCTGGCATCTGGAAACGGGTGTGCACATCGATGCCACCGGGCACCACCATCCTGGAATGGGCCTCGATGGTTTTCACCCCTCCTGGCACAATCAGGTTCTCGCCTATTTGCCTGGATTAAACAGGGCTGGGTCAGTGAAGAGGCTTGTTATAGAGTCACAAATACAACTGTTAATCAAATCAGGTGGCCCAGCTCTCCTGCAACACCTTCTCTAGGGCACCCTCCTGGGGACCAGGATAGGGGCTGGGGGAATTCTGAATTCATCTTCCTAAATTATTTACTTTCATTCCTAAGAAGATGCCTCACCCTCTGTAGGTGACCATGTTGAGATTACCATCGTCCCCAGGAGGCTGAGCACTAGCTCTCTGGGTAACTAATTCTGGGGCCATAGCAAAACTTAAAAAAACTATTTACTAAGGTGACTGCGAACACCCAAGGACAGAGTATCCACACTGATGGAATCACCGAGCTCTTGAAAGATTAAATTAAATATCAGTAACATCAAAATATCACTAAAATGCAGAAGGCCTCAGAGAAGCCATCTGAAGGGAGGGAGTTATAACAGAATCAATAAAGGACCTCATCTTAATAAGAATAGAAATACGAATAGCTAACATTCGTATATAACTCCTAGTATGAGCCAGGCACTGTGCTAAACACCTTATAGACATTATCTCCTTTAACCCTGGGAGGAAGGTGCTATTATCATCTCCATTTTACAGATGAGGAAACTGAGGCAAACAGAGGTTAAGTGACTTGTCCAGAATCACACAGCTAGACGATGTCTGGGGCCAGATCTGAATTTAGGTCTTCCTAACTTTAAACCCAGCGCTCTACCCAGTGAGTCATCTAGTCATTCCCTCTTACTGAGGAGATTCGAATCATGGACTGACTCCCAGATAGATAGATAGAGAGACAGATAGATAGGGATATACAGACATATAAAGATCCAAATGCTGATATATATACACATATAAAATTATACACATGTATAAATATAGGTATACGTATTTATATATTATATAAAATTGTTATGTGTTATTTATATGTGTTTATATAAATATATAATATATAAACATATTCATAAACATAAATAATATATGGTTTTTACTTTTATGTGTGTCTGTGTGTGTGTATGTGTGTGTGTGTGTGTGTGTGTAACAAGGCTACTGGGAATTTATGAATAATGTCACTGCTATCAGTGGGTTCAAATCCAAGCCCTACCATTTGCTACCTATGTGATCTTGGCAAGGCATTTTTCCTTTTTGGCCTCGGTTATCCCATTTGTAAAATCTGGAGGTTGGGCCAGCTGGTTTCTAAGGCCTTCCAGCTCTCTGCCGATAATCCCAGGATCTCCTACACTGAAGAGGCAGGGAGGCAGCAGATAGAAAGCTGGCCTCAGATCCAAGAAGACCTGAGTTTGAAGTGCTGCTGCCTTTGACACATACTGGCTGTATGACCCTGGACAAGTCACTGATAACTCTCCAAGATCACAGTTCTTTGCCCAGGGTGAGAGTTTAAGAAATGCTTTTTCATTTACTCATTCATCCAGACCAGAGCGAAGGGAGCTTCCCTACCAGCTCTCCCACAGCAGTGAAATTCCAGATCCGGACATCCCCCCAAAACCAAGCTTTGCCCATACCACCTCAGAGCTGTGCTGGGCCTCAACTTCATTCAACAGGCCTTGTTCAGTTCCTCCTCCCTGCACCCCTTTGCAAAACAGGGGAGAAAACTGAGACAAGGAGCAGGTGGTGATGCTGCCAAGCCAGCCAGTGACAGAAACAAAGGCAGCACCCTGCTGGGCATGGCCCCCCTACTGTAATGCTGGCTCTGGGAAGCCACAAAAGTTCAGAAAGCAAACACCAAAGCACTCGGGTGGGCTGGGGCAAGGTCTGGAACAGGTGGCCTGCATGAACCTCAAAATGGAGGTTGTGATGGAAATGTGACAACCAGCTTCCAACCCAGTGCTTAACACAGTACCTGGCACATAGCAGGTGCTTAATAAATATTTATTGACTAGCCCAACTTCTCCTTGGTAAGTCAGAATGAGAGACTCCATCCCTGGCAACGTTCTGTTACCCTGCCGGTGCTCAGTGAGTGCTGGGTACTAAGAGGACACCATCTGCTGGAATGTTTGTCTCTAGTCAGACAGATGTGCTGCTTCTCCAGGGTCACATGAACTACTCAGGGTACCAGAAGGGGTAGAGGAGGGTAAGATGATACAGACAAGTTCTCTGTCCTGCCATGGACCAAACTCTCCCTCTAGCCACAAGTACCCTGACGGTACCGCTGCTGCATCTGCTTCTGTAACACACTGCCAGGTGCACACAGCCAACATAAGGGTAGTCTTCCAGGCTCCTTGCCAAATCAAGGATGAGACCCCCAAAGTGGACATTAGCAAAGATTATTTCCAGTGTCTCATTGTAATCAGTTAGATGTCCTCCTCCTTCGATCCCTGATTAAGAAAATAGATGTGCTGACCCAACCCAATCAGTTGCATTCCAGACTTACAACCCCCAAAGGAGCAAATCACCCCCAAAGCACCACATTCCAAGGGAGTCTTTTGGACACTTAACATACCATAGGTTGAGTATTTGAATAAGATATAAAGGCACACTTTCAACCAAATTAAGAATACTTAACTACCTGGGAGTTCTCATACCCCAGTTCCATAAGGAGAGAACTGGGGTTTGCTAAATAGTCACAAAAAGCTCCCCACTCTGGTGAGCCCCACCTCCCCCAGGACCTAGATTGTCTTCCAGCTTGCCCTGGTTGGGACTACTCTCTAAGAGGAAGAAAAAGCAAACTATTCATTTAACTTTGAATTCTAAACCTTCCAAAACAGAATTTTTCAAATTCATTGTATGTTACTTGTCAAAAGGTGTTTTAAAACAGGCCTCAGGTTGTTCATTGTTCTCAATATAATCTGATATTTTATTCCTGGATTCCCTCCTCTAAAGTCTTCCTGGGATGTTGCATCTTGGCATGGAGGTGGGTTCCTAAAGGCTAGTCTAGTCCCTAACAGACCAACTGAGCTGGAAAGCCTTTGAGTAGAGTGTCTGTGGTCTGAGGGCCAGCCTGGGGAGGCTCAGCTACTTTTGGTCATCACATGATAAATGGTTTGACCAAAGATAAACAGTTCTAAACAACTCTTGGGAAGGATGTCACAAACATTGTCACTGTAACAGTGACTTCTGCTTAACTGTGTTTTTTTGTTGGTTGGTAAACAGCAAAGAAATATTCAGAAATGATTCTTATGTAAAAAAAATAAAATTTGTAAAAAAAATAAATGAAATAAAAATGAAAGCTATCATTGGTTAAAAAAAAACATACTTACTTTATCAACCCATCTTCCATATAAATATCTGCATAGAAGGACTGGTCATCATTCACGATCTTGCCACCCTTGATCAAAAGTCGATCGCTCTAAAACAAAAGAAGAAACCAGTTAATATAGTCTGGCTCACTCAGACCTTGAGGAAGGAGATGGGGAAACCTGTGAATTGGCCCCAGGTGATGCTTGAATAAGCCAGTCAGGAAGCAAACTCAGGCAGAGGGGTGAGGCTGCACATGATTATCCATTTCCCCAGCAAAGCCAACCGCTCTTCCTAGATAAAAGACTTTTTTTTTATTATTGTCTATACCTGCAAGCTCATAAAAACAAACTCAAACAATCACCCGTTGAAAGGCCGGGAACACAGTTTCAGATGGAATAGATAATAGTTTTCCTGCAGATCGTCTTTTTTTTAACGTTATTATTCACACCCACACATAGTAAAGTCACTTCTTGGCTAAATTTGAGTCAGTTACAGTCAGAAAAATTGACGAAAAGTCTGTTGCTACTGGTAACTCAACACAAACAAACTCATTTAATCCAGCTGTAGCAAGGTTCCAAACTAGTGGGTCCTTTCTAATCACTCTTCTCTTCTAGGCAAATTACAAAGTAGCAAAGGAGTAGGAAGACTTTGATTTTTTTCTTAATAGGGTTGATGACTGGGTATTTTCAGGTGAGGAAATTCCCTCTACCAATTCAGGTCAGTACCTTTTCTGAAACTTAAGAATCTAAGAGTTGTCTGGGGTACAGTCATGTGAAGTGAATGCCCAGGGTAATGAAGCCACTACATCAGACACAGGACTTGATCCCAGATCTTGAACACAGGTCTTCCTGACTTCCAAGACAACTCTCTCTCTCTCTCTCTCTCTCTCTCTCTCTCTCTC